AGGCCGGAGACTGAGACACTACCCATTTACTCTTCCCACTGTGTGTGGGTGCGGGGGGAGGGGCGGCTTGGGACCACCGGGGGGGTGAGACCTCCGTCCACGTTTTCTTTCCCAATCTTTGTGCGTTTCCTTCTGCTTTCTCTTTGTGAGTCCTTGTATGTAAATGTCTTGTCTGTCGTGTATGTGCTGCTTGAGGTGGAACTGGCACGGGCTAGCCTTCCACATAGTGGGGCTGTACCCGGCCGCTCGCCTAGACACTATGTTCCCTTCCGGTTCCTGTTTTTGTTTAAGTGTGTTTGTTTGTCATTTATATTCTCCATAAAATGCCTTAAGGGCGGGGACATGTACGGTTACCTGACCTTACAATTTGTTAACATGTTTTAAATATGTTCTTCATGGTCTATGATTCGATATTGTGTGAGACCTTGTGGCCTCCGCTTGTCCTCATTTTCTATGTACCCCACCCTTTTTGTTCATAAATAAAGAATAAAAAAAAAAAAAGAGAAACATCTAAAGCCGGGTCAGAGATTAAATTAAAATCCCCACACAGAAGCATGCAACCTCTCTGTACAGATCGAATTTTAGTGAACAACTTTTTAAGGAAGGAATGTTGGTTAACATTGGGTGCATACACATTCACCAAAGTATAGCAAATCGAGTTTAGCTCGCAAACCAAAACAATATATCTACCATTCTGATCAATGATCGAGTCAAAGAGTTGAAAGGAGACAGAGCGCCCTATAGCTATTAACACCCCCCTTTTCTTGGAGGTGGCGTTGGAAAAAAAAACATTGGGGAACTTTTGGTGTTGAAACATAGGCGCCTTATCTATGCAAAAGTGAGTTTCCTGGGCGCATAACACATCGCATGAATGCAATTTAGCCTCATTCCACAATTGGGACCTCTTAAAGGGGCTATTCAGTCCTTTAACATTTAAGGAAAGGAGTTTAATACTCATCTAAGGGCTGGCAGAAGTCAGATAGGTCCCATGACAGTGCGAGCTTTGCGGCTTCCGAGTGCTCAGATACCAGAAAGGTCCAGCTTGAAATGTATCAGGGAGCTCCTCGCCCCACATTCGATTCGTGTTTGACAGCGATTGTAATCTCCATCCTGAAGGTAAGAGGTAAAGAGAAAAAACAGGAACGAAAACCAAAAAGAACAAAAAAAACAAGGCAACAAACACCAAATCTGGCTGAAAAGTAAAAAACGGTGAGTATCGGCAAGCGGTACTCAGGGCAGCAGAGTATATTACCAACCGGGGTTAAGAGAGGTAGGGTCCGGTGCCTCAGGCCAGCCGAGGCGCCTAGGTGGCGAGCGTTAACTTAGGCGAAAACTCGCATCCGCCCCTCAGGCAGAGGGAGATAACTTTAAACTTCCACTGCAGGTGAGGTCAGCCAACTTCATTGGAGCCACAGGTATCCTCGGCTGTACGGATCCCCCATCTTTTCAGCAGAAGTAAGCCGGAGGCCACATCAGGGATGGTAAACAATTTCCCACTCTTGTGGAGCAATAACTTGGTGGGGTAACCCCATCTGTAAGGGATTTTGTGATCTCGTAGGGCTTTCGTTATAGGCATCAGTCGCTTCCTGGCCGCAATGGTAGCCTGTGATAGATCTCCATAGAGAGACAGCGAGCCATAGGGTTCCGGTAGAGGAGTGACAGATCTAGAGAGAGACATCAATTGCTCTTTCACATGATAGCAGTGTATGCGTGGCAAAGATTATAGTTACCCCTCACGGGCAGCGGGCCAATGATAAATGGATCAGACACAGAGTGTGTCAAAATACTGATGTGTCCTTATTTCAAAAGTCACTCACTCCATGTGATGTTTCATTGTAGCAGTCCAAACAAATTCCACAGCCGGATTGATAGTTTTTCATCAACCTCCCAGGATCGTGGCGGTAAAGAGTATCCGTTTGGTGGTTATTGAATAGTAGCCACATCTGAACGGGTACATCTGAACAATATTGCCAGGATTCACCCTGCTGCCTGATTGACAGCTGGCTTGCCTCTCTAGAACCAAAGCCAGCTGTGCCCACCCCCTCCCCTGTCTGTCCCTCCAATGAGTGCTGGAGGAACAGAAAGTGGAAAAAGAATCCCTGTGGGGAACACTGACTGGCAGTCACCGCTCTCTGCAGGGAGAAGCCAGGAGCTGAGCGATTAGTGGTTTGTAGACATGTGCACCAGCAAAAAATTAATTTTGTTTCATTTTAATTCGGATTTTGCGTTAATTTGTTTTTCGGTATTTGGGTCCAAAAGTCAATTTGTTTCAGGATTCGGATTCATACGAAATTCGTTAGCGGTAGTCTGTACGAAGGTGTTGTTCGTTCAATCATGGCAGTAAAGACCTTTTGAGGAGGAAAAAAAAAGGGGGTTTTCTCATCAAATGTCATTTTGCTGCAACAAAATTTCGTCCAAACAAATGAAATTTCGTACAGACTACCGCTAACGAATTTCGTAATCGGAAATTCGGATTCGCTTGCATTAGTTATATCTGTAATTCGGATGTCAGAATTTCCGAATTTTCGTCACAATTTCAATTCGAAACGAATCGCACATGTCTAGTCGAGCTACAGAACCAACGTGTAATACCTGCAGCGTCACACACCAGGTCAAAGTATTGAGAAGAGTATATTTTACTCTCCCATTAGTTCTCCTTTAAAAGAATCCAGGGGGGCTGGGACCTTTTGACCTAGGAGGAAAAAACATAAAGAGTGGGACATTTCATGGTAAGGATGGTTTCCTGTAGGCTAAGGAAACTGTAACAAACAAAATGTTAAAGAGGGTGCAAGGTCAGACAGAGGATCCATGACCCACTAGAGCTAGTGAAAAGAAGGGTCCACCATAAAGAAGAGTGCACTGTGGCAAAGATATAAACTATATCTGCCAAAATTTGAACCCCCATTAGGCGTGACATTTTAAAGGGATTGAGAAGAAAAATGTTGTGCACTACATAGTCCATCTGCCTTGAAGGGATTCAGAAGAAATATGCAGCGTGCATAGCTTGTGGGCATAGCCAAAAGTGGGCATGGTCAGTAAAGTGTGTGTTGTTATAAGGTGTATGGCTTGTGGTGTGCCACATTTCCCCCTTTGCTGAGCTATGTTTTAGACAGAATAGGGCTTGGGGGAATACTGAACAGATTGTTGGAGTAAAATTAGTCCTATTGTTGGTATCAGTGGCAGCAATAATACCGCTTAGGACAGGTAATGTTTTATCAGCAGGTGAAAAGGGAATATAAAGCCTGGAAAAAGAAAATTAAAAGCAGCCACCTCATCTAAAGACTGGTGAGCTGCAGTACATTCTATTCTATTGTTTGGGTTTAGATTTACTTTAACAATGCCAGCCAAAAATATTGTATACGTTTATCATATCTATATACAGTACACACACACATCCCAACTCTCCCGGACACTCCGGGAGTCTCCCACTATTAGATTGTTTATCTCCCGGGTGGCCCGGGAGCCTCTTTCTCCTGGAAATGTTTACTCTGCTTGATCTAGCAGAGTAAACTTTCCCTGCTATCTGTTTTTTTTTCCTGACATCGGGGCGGCTGTCAGCCAGAGAAAAACAAAAAAACAGCATAGGAATGAATAGCTAGATTTCTATTGGCCATTTCAATTTGCAATAGCCAAAAGCAGACTAGCTATTGCACCCGCCCTCTGCTGCTGTCAATCAGCAGAGGTGGACCTGAAGTTCTCCATCAGGTCCTCTTCTGCTGATTGACAGCAACAGAGGGCGGGAGCAATAGCCAGCTTGCTATTGCAAATTGAAATAGCTAATAGCAATCTAGCTATTCATTTCAATGCTGTTTTTTGTTTTTATTCTGACGGCAGCAGCTGTCAGAATACTAAAAAAAAAAAACTAAAAAAAAAAAAAAAAAAAAAAAAAAAAAAAAAAAAAAAAACACACAATCTGCAGATAGCAAGGGAAGCAATAGCTTCTTTACTATCTGCAACAATCATTTCAGGGGGTTGCCCCGCGGATGGGCGGGTAGAGAAAGAGAGCACCTCCCTGAAATCACTTTTTTTCTGGTTGGGATCCCTGCACACACTATATATTCTGCCTCCAATTGTTAAAATATGCATCATTTAACTGAATTTATTTTACTCACCTCACTGTTTTGCAGTAGAGATAATGAGTAGTACAAGTATACATCATAAATCAGAGTCAGCAGTAGATACTGAGTGCTTCTCCTTCACACTCAACCACCATCTGATTAGCAATTTTAAATGGTGTGTTGTATTAAATGTGTTGGATTTAGCAGCCAAAGCCAACAGCTGAGTATAGATATGTCACGAACAGAATACTGAACACAGGGGAACTTTTAAGACCCAATTTAGAAATTAAAGCAATATCTTCATCCACTCCATCATACTCTTTAATATTTCTCGATAACGTGGCATGCATTTTGCAATCCGTTATAAAATACAGGCCATGGCATTGCACCTACAGTACTTCATATAGTTCTCTCTGCTTAATGTTCACATTCTCATTTAATTTTATTGTGAACTGCCAACTTTGGACTTGCGAAGCCAGGGGAGTGCAAAATGTCTTTCATATATGTGCAAAGCCATGCCACTGGTTTAAATGGACCCCTTTGTCAGGCCAGCAACGTGTTAAAAATGACTGTACTAAACAATAGTGAATTTCATATCTGTAATCAAGAAAACACGTAATTAGGGCGAAAGATCTGCTTGTAATGAAGAACTTTATTACTTACGATGGAAGGATGTTATCCACATTTGTTTAATTCACAGACCAGTCATGTATTTTGTAGTGCAACATCTATACTTTCCTAATCTAACACTGAAAAGTAGGAGGTAGGTTCAAATAAACCACAGAGCAGATTTTCTAAAGAGAAGAGATTTTTGGAAGTCTGCAACTCAGGATATGGAAAATACCACTAAACACTGGCTTCAATGTAGTTTGACAGATTAAAACACTAGTTACACATACATTAGTTGGTTTAAGAGCCGATAATATAAAAGCTTTCAAATGTGGTTCTTTTACAAGACACTCCTTCAAATAGACCTTCTTTAGCACTATTGCATATCATATGATACAAGACAAACATGGTGAGTAACAAAGCACATAACATAGAAACTGTAACTGCTCTAGTAAGATATACAGAGAATGCACGAAGCTGGTTGTCTTCTTTGTAGGGGAAGTATTACTCATCATCCCCACCACAAATGAGGAGGAGTGTGTTCCTGTAGTCTCCAGATGTGTCACACTGTGGAGAGAGAGGGAACTATTAAGACACAAACTACTGACTCATATTCTTACCACAGACTGAAGGATACATGGGACTTGTTTGGTCTTTGCATGAGCATCAGAAGACAACATATATCAGACCTTATAGAGTATACATCCAGTAAGAAATCGCAATCAGCAATCAAGTGCAGTAAAATATAGGAATCAGATTGTTATGAGTTATTAAAAACTTTTCTTATTGCTCTTTGCCTTATAAAAAAAATAAAAGAATGCTTAGAGCCAAAATTTGACAGTAAATATGCTGGGCTTTTGATGTTCCTTTCAGCAACTAGGTGTTTCTCAACAAAATCCAATGCCCAGCAGACTGAAAAATAAAAAAGCAGTTCTCTTAGAAAGCTCTCCTATTCTCCAGCCTTTTTTCCACAGACTCACCACTATGATCCACCGCTGGTTCTCATTTGTGTTAAAATGTACCCAACATCATACAACTCACTTTTTGTGAGCCTAGACTGTTCATGAGCATGTCCTCTGTGGCACATCATCATGCTGACCTAGAACTGGACAACACAGTGCTCACACATTATTCTGTGAACACTCGCTGCCGCCAGAAAAGAGAAGGACCCATGACACCACTAGACAGGCCAGAAGACTGCAGGGAAAAAAAAAAGGTATGTATAAAAGGCAATTAAAAATGTGGTAGGGAGCTTCAGTAAGACAAGAAAAAAAAAAAACTTTAAAGCCCAACTCCTATCAATTTTGTGCATAGTTTTAGACAGGGTGGGAAGTGTTAAAACATCTGCCAGGATTTTTGTTATTGGTGTCCTTTTCTCTCCAAGACCTGTTCCCAGGAAATGTGGGGAAAACCAACAATTTTCAACATATAGAGCAGTAAAAATCTGACACAGATTCTAAACCTCATACTCTATCCCCAAAAAAAATTATGAAGAATCAGCAAGGGATCAAACCCTGCCCCAACCAGCCAAAAAGGGAATTTCAGTTTAGGGTTAAAGTGACATTAAACCCTCAGATTTTTTAACATAAAATACTGTAATGTGTGCCTTACTGTAATCCATGGTAGTTTCCCTTCTCTTTGCTGCTCTTCCTTTTAAATCTGTATCTCTTCTCATGCTGGGCAGAACTTCTGTTTTGCAGCAGACTGCCTTGTCTCTGAAATGGATACATGGTGTCTGTGTATAGGTTTGCAACCTGAGCCAGCACTACAGGAAGAGGCAGTCAGCTGCAAAGGGAAGTTCTCCCCCAGCATGAGAAGAGAGAAGGATCTAAAAAGGAAGAGCAGCAAAGAGAAGGAAAACTACTATGGATTACAGTAAGGCACACATTACAGTATTGGTTTATGTTAAAAAAATCTGAGGGTTTAATGTCACTTTAAGTTCAAATTTAAACCTACATACTCATTGTCTCTGGATAAGCTTGACCTCCTTTTGATAAGGATGCAGTCAGTGAGATGTTGGCGATACTTTACTGCTATGTACACTTCATGATGATAGCAGGTACTGGACATAAAAGAGAACTTTAATTGCATGTCACAATGCATTTTGCTATGATGCATCTTTCTGTGCAATTACCATTATGCATAATTGATATACAATTTATAAATCCGATTAAGTCGTGTTTTAGTAACAGTTAACTGATGTTTCATAGAAAATTGTATATTTTTCAGCTGGTAGGGAATGAAGCTTCCAAATTGTATGAATGAATACAATACAGTGGCATAGTGCTTAACACTTCTGCCTTGCAGCACTGAGGGTCCCCGGTTCAAATCCCAGCCAGGTCATGATCTGCAAGAAGTTCTTCCTGTGCTTTTGTGGGTTTCCTCCAGATACTCCAGTTTCCCCCCACATTCCAAAGACATGCTGGGAGGTTAGTTGGATCCTCTATTAATTGGCCCTTGTATGTATGTATGCATGCATGCGAGATGGGGACCTTAGATTGTGAGCTCCATGAGGGCAGGGACTGATGTGAATGTGCTACTTTGTAAAAGCGGTGTGTAAATTGTCGGTGCTATATAAAACAACAGATTACATTTATGGACAACAACATCCTTTCCTTTTTTTGCAGTAAATTCATATATCTGCATTGTATATAAAACTATATAAAGTCCCATGTGCCATGTTTGACAGTAAGCCACTACTTACAATTTTTAGATAAATGTATCTATTATTGGCCCTTATGATTTTCCCATTGCTTTCCTTGGTGAATAAAAACTATAACGGAGTCTTAATTTCCTTTTTACCTTGATTGCTTGAAAGAGAGATTTTCCAAAATGTGTTCTGTACTCTTTCCTTATATCAAGCATATCAATTTCACTCCGGGAAACCATCACTCGGATCAAGGTTTCATCGTCGGTACCAGCACCCTGTGCAGATGATAAATATTAACCAAATGGTGAGAAAACATTGTATGTGATACAGCCAAAAAGCTGCATTATATATTATTGTCAAGAATGAAAGTATAATTGTACGACCCCATCAGGGCAGCATTCAAACATGCTGTTCTAGGCACAAATGAACAGCCTATGGACCAGGTTCATCACCTATGTTATGCAGTCATTTTAGTAAGAATAAATGCTAGGAAGTACAATTGGAGGAGGCCTTTCCCCTACAGTTCCCTTGCTGAATTTTAAAATCTCACCAATATGACGATGCCCCCAAGTTCAAGTTAGGGAAGCTCTCTGCGAGGCCTATGGTTGTCGTCTGGTGCTATGCTTGACTGGAATCCATATCTTGTCAGGCAGCATAGTTGAACAAGGCTTAGGTGGTTGCGTGGTAGGGATTTAATTTGGTAAAGGAGGGAGACCCCTTTTCTTCATCTTTGTTTGGATCCCTGATGCTGTTCAGTGTGCCATCTTTGGTTACTATGAGCTGAAATGGGAATCCCATAACCCAATAGCCATCCTGAGCAATCTGTGCTTCATAAGGGTTATTAGAGATAGGTCGCTGAAGCCTTTCACTCTTATATTTGTTAACCGATTTGTCAGGGTTGGTTAAAAAGGATGGCTTCTGTACTACAGCTTCTTCCAGCTAGCGGTTTAGGCCCTAGAGAGCATGGGCTCTATCAAGTCACCAGTCTGTCTGGTATATTGGGGGCCAGAAAAGAAAATAGATCCATGAGATAAAACTAATACAAAGCTTACAATTCTAGGTACCCTGTGAAATTGAAGGTTCGGTCACCAAGGTACCCTGTGAAAATGAAGGTCCTGTCACCCGTGTCTATTTTCTGAGTCCTCTTATTGAAGTGAGAGCCGGGATACATTTGTCAGAGGCATGTTTTTCCTTCTAGGAAATATTCATACTGGATCACCACATTTAGCCTCAAGGTTCTCAGCAAGTTCACTGATCTCAGTTTTGGGCCAGCTTATCCACCTCAGGAGAAACCATGCGGGTTATTTTCTGGAGCAGTATGTGCATTCTTACATCCAACATGGACACCATCAGATAAGGCACCGGAGGTGTAAATCAGCAATGGGGCAGGCACAGAATTCTCAGAGTCTTCTCTTTTTTCACCAAACTGCAGGGTGGGGGAGGGTAATGGTAAGAATGCCAGGGACTAGTCAGAAACCTCGCCCAACATGGTGGCTTTAGTAGGCCCTAGTTCCATAAGTAGCATAGTAACAGCCTCTTGCCAATTTTACCCATAGGGATAGATGATGTAATAAGTAGTTGAAATTAGCAATTGAAAGCTGAAAGGGAGGAATAATGCACAGGACTGCAGCAGAGCTCCAGGGTTAAGCTTCCTCCATGTTCTCCATGAATGTACATTTAGGAAGGTTGCCAAAGAAATCCATGTACGTACAGTGGTAAACAATATCAAAATGAGTCAGTTTTGAATGCATGCCCTGCTACGTGGACAGGAAAATATGTAAAAAAGAAATTAAGTCTGCTTACCTTCATTGCTCGGTCCAGAGTTTCAGCAAAATATCTAGGGACGCAGCGAACACTCTTCACTTGAAAAAAAAAAAAATTACAAATATATACAGAATTTAAAAAAAATCAAGGGTTTATAAGTACAAACCACTTTTCCAACCCTCATGGCTTTTTCACACTAACCAATGCGTTCAGGGCATGGTTCCATGCATTACAGTGCGCTCCGATCGCAAAAAAAGTGCACCATACTGGAACGCAAGGCATTGGGGTACCACGCATTCCAGTGCAGGTGGGAAATGGGTCTGCGCTGCCATTGACATGAATGGCACTACCATGCCCCCTCCCGCCCCAGAAAGCGAGGAGACTGTTTATGCAATCCAGTGCATTCATGGCACGGAAACGTGCCCTGAACGCATTGGCTGGTGTAAAACAGGCCCCCAGAGAGATCTTAGTAAGAAAATACATGCCCTAATGCAATGACATAACAGCAATACTTTTACAGAGATCCTAGTCATCTAATGCAGACCATCTTGACTGCTTTGCTGTAACGTAATTAAAAATGCAGCATAAAAAAAAAAGCAGTTTTCTTGATGAATACAGTTTTGCTGGGTGTATAAGTCACCTATACTAAACTTAGTGTTCATCACCCAGAATATTATTAGCATATTTACTAAACACTTTAGGTTTATTTATTTAAGTATTGTAATAAAAGAAAAGCAGCAGAAAGTCTATTTGTCCTTGATTCATAAGAAAGGATTATAAAAAAATAGAATTTACACTGCTTTGCCTGCACTACACAATTGGGAGTTGCCTTTTACAGAAAGTCTGTTTACATTGTGACAAGGTAAAGGACTCAGTGTAAGTCAGTGAGAGATTGAGAAGGGCAACATTCCTGGGCTAGGAAGGAGTTAAGCCTTGCCAAAACACTACACCTCCTCTCTATTAATTAGCCTGCACCTGATAGTAGCTGAGAGATCCAGGCTGCACTGGGTGGCTACAGACACAGACTGGAGAGCGTCTGAATATCTGTGGAATAAGGTCTGGCAGAAAAAACTCCATGTTAGGCTGGGTTCACACCTGGGCGTACGGAATATGCGCGTTTGCCGTGCGTTTTTACCGCAATTTGCGGTAAAAGAAACGCGCAACAGATGCACGTTTACGAGGGCTGTGCGGCTGTATCCAAATGGATACACGCGGCAAATACGCCCCAAAGAAGCTCCTGTACTTCTTTGGACGTAGGGCATTTTTCAGCGCGATCCTACGTGCTGTAAAACGCCCAGGTGGGAACCATGCCCATAGGCAATTATTGGTTTTTACATGTTGAGCGTTTTACAGCGCATAGGAACGCGCTGTAAAACGCCCAGGTGTGAACCAGGCCTTAAGGACTGCGATTCTCTATGCATGCTCATTTATACTGGAAGCTGAAATAGCCGCTCCAATAGGAAGTAGTGAGCGATACTACTGTTAGTTAGCCTCCTAAGGTGGAGTAGGCCTTTTTGTGTGTTACTTTTGGGTTTCTGCTGGAAGTTGTTTTGTTTAAAAAAAAGGGAAAAACGTACTCGATTGATACTTTTTACGTTTGAGTGCAATAAAGCGGCATTTACTGCCAATTCCGATTACAGACCAGTGACTTTTACAACATTTACTTCCTTTAACAATAGTTATCAGTTATTAAACGCTCACAAGAGCAAACCTTTATTTTTAGTACTGTACTCCTCAGGCAGGAATGTAATAAGTTACACACTTTTTTATATTAATTGCAGAACATGGTGTCAAAGTAAAGCTTTCATGACACCTGAAAATGATCAGATTACCCAAGTTTTTGTTTCATGCAAAAGAAGGAGAGTGAATAGATCCAAGTCTTACCTATAGCAAGCAACAACTTCTCAAGGTGACCCGAGGTCTCCCGATCAATGCTCTCTTCAATCTGGTAGCCAGAGATGGTCATGTATTTATCAAACACTGAAATGTCAAAAAGAGACACGGAGTCTCCTCCGGTAAAACAAATATATACTATGTAGTCACCACAAAATCTTAGGCAGTAAAGTCAATGACACCATGTGGTCTCATGTAAAATTTTAAGCAGAACTCAATTCCTGGCAAGCAACTAGCTACATGGGTGAATCAAATACATGGGAACAGTTTTAGCTGTCAAAGGACTTGGATGCTAAATTAATCAATCTTGAATTCAGTTCCACCACCTCCACTATACCAGTAGTAGCACAGCCTGGTCAACACACCACCAGCCTGCTGATTAGCTAACAAAGAAGCAAAAGCACAATATTAAAAAAGGTGCCCATACACTGCACAATTCTCGTACGAGAATCGCGGGAAATCCCGCGATCATACGAGATTCGTGCAGTGTGAATGAAGACGTGCGACCGTTTCTACTGTACGGTCGCATGTCTTTTGTCTGAGGAGCATGCTAGAAAACCAGCCGAGAATCGTACGATTTTCGGCTGGTTTTTAGCATGCCCGGGCGACAAATGCCGAACGGGCCGGTGTGCGCACACGCCCACTGCCCAGCATTGCGATCGGAAGCCCGCCCCTCATCATCGCGAGCTTGCGATGATCGCAAGTACGATCTGCCGGTCCAAGATGGGCAGATCGTACGTTTTTTAAATTAGTTTACATCCATCCCAAGACTAAGGTCTTGCGATGGTTGTAAAGTGTATGGCCACCTTAAGACCATCTCTCTGCTCTGTCCACTGACAACAGATGTACCACCACAGCAGACCTGATTAGTTCCTTGTACTGCTACACTGTCTTTTCCCAGCCCCAGTAGGGGAATACAGGAGGCTGATATCAAAACAAAAATTCAGATATATACAGCAACTGTATTTATAAATACTATAATTTAAGCCATAACTGCATTATTTTTATAAAACCTGTTAGGCCATCTCTGGGTATCCAGTCTTGGTTATATATGCGATTTTCCCTTTAATGTATCCCAGTACTTTTTCTTCTGTTTTTACACTGTTTTCTTGTGAGCAACCTACAACCTAGCATTTAATATCATAACCCTTTTTTCCATTAGGGAAACAAATCATAAAAAGATCAATGTACACCAACGATGCAAGACTCCTTCAGGCGTTAAGGGGTTTGCGAACTGCTGAGATCAAGTGAAATAAAACCAACTAAAATGAACAGCTGCTTAGCCTGTACAACTCAAGGCCAGGTTTTGCAGCTCTTTGCCTGTATCCGCACATCTAGCAATTACATGTGGTAAGGCACAGATGGAACACCCCTAGACACAGAGGGGGGAATTTATTAAAACTGGAGCAGACAAAAATCTGTAGCAGTTGACCATGGCAATCAATCAGCTTCTTTAATCAATTTGTTCAGTTAAGATTTTAATTTTTTTTTTTTAACCACGGTGGGGGCCTCCAGGTTACTACATGAATCTGGGTTGCTCTCTATCTATATGTCTTGTGTCTTATATCCCCTACTTTTGGACATCTTTATTTTATTGTTGTTCTTACTTCTTATTGTTTCATATTTTTATGTGTTGTGACTATTGTATACCAATAGTGGCTGCGTCCACCGTTTCTATGATGGGAAGTTGATCCAGTACTTGTCCTCCCTTGTATGTAACAATTTGAAAACTTGTCGAATAAACAGAATTTATAAAAAAAAAAAAATTTTTTTTTTTTTTTTAAAAGAGAAGCTGATTGGTTGCCATGCACAGCTGCTCTAGTTTTGATAAATTCCCCAAAAGTCTTTATTTTTATCTGAAAATTACATAAAATGTGTCCTTGCCTGTGGAACCTCTTAATTGCTGCATACAGTATTTTATAACAGTGTGGTTTGTATGGGAGCCTTTAGAACTAACCCTATCCTAATAGTACGGGTACTTTTTTTTCCACAAGGGAAAAAAAGTGGAGAAAAAATGAGAGAAAGCAGAATACTCATGTCTGAGACATTTTAATCCTTTCCATCTGTGGCAGTAGTAAGATTTTCCAACTCCTATAAGCTTTTTTTGGCCCCATGAGTACATGAACTCTTTTTTATATGCTAGTTTCCAAGCTGAAATAAGAACAGAAGACTGCCCCGCTGACCTTAAGAGTATGACTGTAGGGACCAGGTTTGTATTTTAATAACAGTATGTTGCAGAAAGAGGTCCCAATTAGTTGACACCAGCAGGTTTAGAGTATCCCTCTTTTGAATTTGGGTGAATAACCTTGGAGACTTTTTTCCATTTCTTACTGTGATGATTCACTGCCTAATGACTAGAATGGCTGAACTGTCAAATATATTTATAAACAATGCTGACAAATTATACTTTTGCATTCTTTCAGGATATAAACTTGCAGGGGTGTATAAAGAGTCGTATCAGATCAAATCACTTGACAACATATTGGAAATTAACTATAGAAAATTGTAATTTTCGTTCGGTTTTTAGCTTTTTGAAAATAACATTTTAGATTTTTTTTTACTATTTTTCATATAAAATATTCTATAGACAGAGGCTTAGTACTAAAGTGATACCTCAGTACTTGATAGATTCTAAATAGTAGGGATGCACTGATAACCAATACTAGTATCGGTGCCGATGCAGAGTATTTGGACGAGTGCGCATACTCTCCCAAATGCTCCAATGCCTAGCCCGATTCCTGAGCTTCCGGGATCAGGAAGCCGGGCAGCGAGTCATTACACGCTGCCCAGTTTCCCGATTGGCCGGGAAGCCGGCTCCAAGACCCTCGTCACAAGGGAGCCGGCTTTCCGGCCAATCAGGAAGCTAGTCAGCGTGTAATGATTCAACGCCCGGCTTCCTGGTTGGTCGGGAAGCTGGCCAATCAGGATGCTGTACGGCGAGTCCTTAGCTGCCCCCCAGCTTTCCGATTGGCCAGAAAGCTGGCTTCATGCTTAATCACCTGGCAATGATGGAGCATAGAGCCGGCTTCCCGGCCAATCAGGAAGCCGGGTGCCTTGTAATGACTCGCTGCCCGGCTTCCTGATTGGCCAGCTTCTTAGCATCCTTCTGTTCCTAGAACACAAGCCTGGAGGGATATAGGATTCAGGGACAATTGGGATGTCTGAGGACTGGGCAACCAAATGCACGCAACAGGCCCCACTATAAACAACAGAAAACTGGGAACTGCTTGCAGCTTAAAGAGCTACCTGAAGGACCTTACACCCAAAGCTAGCATCAGATGAGGCCTAAACATCCAGCTGGTAAAGCTCACAGACTGTGCCTTGCAAACCGGGAAAGAGTTGTGTGATGCCAAAAAGCCCAAGAAGAACAGGCCTAGTAGAGCGACAGAAAGAGTGCCACCTAAAGCTTAAAGTGACATTAAACCCTCAGATTTTTTAACATAAACCAATACTGTAATGTGTGCCTTACTGTAATCCATGGTAGTTTACCTTCTCTTTGCTGCTCTTCCTTTTAAATCCTCATCTCTTCTCATGCTGGGGGAGAACTTCCCTTTTCAGCTGGGTGCCTCTTCCTGTAGTGCTGGCTCAGGTTGTGAACCTGCACACAAACACCATGTATCCATTTGAGAGACAAGGCAGTCTGCTGCAAAACAGAAGTTCTTCAAACGACATCCAGACAGTAAAGAGAGCGGGCGGGAGTGATAGAAGCCCAATGTCCTGGTTGAGATTAAAGGTCAAAACCACCTTAGGAGGAAGGAGGCTCTAGGCCTTAACACCACCTTGTCCTTGTGTAAGACCAGAAAGAGTTATTTACAGGACAAAGCCACCAGTTCAGACACCTCACAGAGGCAATGACAAGGACAGTAACCTTATAAAAGTAAGAGTGGAAAGAGGAATATCACAGATTGGTTCAATTGGCTGTTCAGGATTCATCCCACGGATTATTACCTCATACCAAGTGAAGTATGTCTTCCATGTCCAATGGGAAACAAAAATTGGAGACGGAAGCGCCACTACCTAGCGCAATAAATGTGGTAGAGTGGGGTGTAAGCGTAAGTGTTGTACTCACCTGAGTCTGGGTAAGTATTCGCTTGTAGTCGTCGGGTTGCAGTGGAGCGGAAGTGGTCCCTCTTTTTCAGGGTGGCGTGGTGTTTAAACCCAGTAGGCAGATGGGGATACGAATGCAAGGGGGTGAGGTATGCAATGGTGGGTGAAGGGGTGGGCTTCTGTGACTCACCCTGGGGATAGTGGAGGGCGGCTTTCAGCATGCGCAATCATCCAGTTCAGCAAAGTCCAGCTACTGTCTCCAAAGATATTGCCAAGCATATACCAATCTGAACAGCTGCATAAAGAGACCAGCTCAAGCTGCTTGTAGATTGTCTTGACGGAAGAAAAAAAAAAATTAGCTTGGAAACAGGAAGAGAAAAGGCTATTCAAAACGCCTAAAATTTTCTCAGAGAAAATATGTCCATCCTTCAAGAACACTAGCAAAAAAGCAAAAGCAAGCTGGGGATGGGTGAAGTAATATGGGGCTGTTTTTTTTTTTGTCCAAATACTCCTGTAGGCTGCAGTATAACACTATTGTCTCTGAATCCTGTGTCCCTCAATGAATGACAAATTACTTTGTGTTTAGGTTTCTAGCGGCACAAACCTGCCATGGCTAATACAAGGGAATGCCACTCACTATACAGGATTTTATTATTATTTTCCACATCTGTACCGTTTCCTTATAACCCCTGCACATGACCATTTTCTAGTACTTTAAACCACTTTCAACCAGTATTTACAATACAAGTGACTGGATCAAGGTACCCTCATAACATTCCAACCATTTACCATGTTCTTGTACCATTTTTATCTGTCCAAATCATTTTTGTGATAAAAAGCAGTTTGAAAGTAACCGTACAGTAGAAACGGTCACACACCTTCCATACACTGCACGATCATACGATCGCGTGATTTTCTGCGATTATCATACGATAACCTTGCAGTGTGTGGGCACCTTTACAGAGACACTTTTCTAGCACGCTTTTTTGTTTTGTGAGAATATTTTATCAAATAAAATGCAGTAACCTATGACAACTAATAAAAATTCATATTTTATAGATCTGGCTACAATAAAAACAAAATCGTATTCAGTTGTATGGAGAACATGACTTTGCAAATCATTACTGCACTTTGCATTGCTGTATAAAAATAAATAACACATTTAACAAATCACTAAAACTTCATGTAAATGTGATACATAAAACTACTCATGTAGTGAAGTGAGATTGCTTCCAAGAATTTCAGTAAATAACTAACCACGAAAAACAAAAACACAAACATTTGCATAGCTATAGAAATTCAAATGACACCGTAGAACAAAAAGAAATGCGATTCATTAGCAAAAACAATAATTCCAGGTGCAACCAAAGCCTTTGTAAATGTAGGGGTCATTGCAATGGTCTATAACAATAAATTACCTTTTCTTAAATGGGCATTGCTGCGAGTTCCCAAAATTGTAATGAACTTCTCTTCATCTGTGCCCCACTTCACTTCTCCGGCTTTAAATAAATCCTAGCAGAATGAAAAGAACAATCACAAGTTTGCGATTCACAAAGCAGAAACATACAAACACACAGCCATCCCTTTAAGGCATGGTTGAAACATTCATGTCAGTCTTTCTCATCAACCAAGGTGAGAATAGCGAGCAACATGAAAAAGCACACTGACCTGGGCATCCTGCTCAACAAGAGCGTCATTAACTTTGGAGTCTGGATCCCTATTAGCCTGCAAAACAGAAAAATATCTCTTTGAAACTGTAATATATGCTTTCTTATTGTGTTATCCAAATACCATAGGCAGATATGGCAATCTTACATTATGGCTAGGATCACACATGCACTACACCCGGGATCGCGTGGTCCTGTACAATGCAGGCAGCGATTGCTGCGCGGCCCTATTGATTTCAATGGGGTGCCATCCACGCGCCAATTGCAGAAAAAAAAGGTACAAGTACCTTTTTTGCGATACACGACGCGCGACTGTTTTTAGAGAAACAATGACACCCACAGCGAGATCGGTTCGCACCTTGGCGACCCCTGACCGCACGGCAATCCGTGCGGAATCGTGCACCATTGCCACGCAGTGGAGGTGTCGCCTAAGTGTGAACCTAGCCTAAACCACACCAACTATTTACAAGATTTTTTTTGTTGTGCACCTATATGTGCAGCTTACAATATATGTTCTTGGTTAAGAATTATGATATTATTCAATGAAAAATTGTGCAAAGGTTTTTACAGTCCAGCACAATAAATGCACTGAAATATAGGGTTATGCCTTTTTATAAGTCGAAGTAAACAGGATTTAGCCATACAAGCTACGGGTAATGATTCCTAGCTTTTGGAAATTTCCCCAAAGCATAAAACCCCTTAAATATGAATAATACCCCACACTCGTGACTTTACAGGTATCCCACCCCACCAATATGCAGTTCACATATTCAGCCATTCTTATATTATGCCAGGTGTTGCTGCTGCTGATTAGGCCCCATTCACAGTTGAGCTGAACATCTTTGGTTGTTTTTTAGTGTTTGTACGGACGCTTTTGCAATTGTTTAGGCATTACCGTTTTATTTTTTGCCAATGCAAAACTAGTTCCCTGGGAGGGGAGGGGCAGGCAGTGCGTATTATATGCTTTTTTTGCCCATTTCTCAGGTGCTATCCTTGAAGCCTATTGGGGTCAAAGTGCTTGACTTTGCTTTATGCTACAAAGCACTCAGGTGTGAACAGGAGTCATTGAAAACAATAGAATGCTCTCTGCTGAGCTCTGTAGTGCTTAGGCATTCAAAGCCACAAAATGCTCAGGTATGAATGGGGCTTATCTAAAGGCGCTACATAAAATGAACAGCAATTTTGAACCGCTACTAATTATGGCTACATAGCTGATCTACTGACATTACATGCAGAAGTATACACTAGAATTATTTCCCGCAGGACACAAACCTATATTTTTAAATGTCTTCTGACAGCAATGTGCTATAATGTTTGGACAGCATGTGCACATTTCTACCATTAAAGCAATGGGCATACTTTTATTTACTACTACTAATAAAAATACTTACTTGTACAAGAACTACCAACATCCTCTGGAAATATCCAGATGTATCTCCAGTTATGCCATCTTCCAGCTCACTTCCGTGTTCTACAGCACAGAACAGCAAAATTCAGGATAGACTATTAGATTATTATAATAATTTAGTGCATTTATATTTAAACAAATATGTAACAAAAGTCACTGCAACAAAGATTTTAGCAAAATGTATTGCACCTTCTTACAATGAAGAACAACTCTCGGCAGAAATTTGATTAACCCTTGCAGTGGGGCTACCATCGTACTGTAAGGGTTAACTGCTCATTTTTGCCTAGGGTCAACTCACCCGAGTTTCTGAGCTGGCCGGCTCTTAGACCGCTCCCTTAACCATCTCTCCCCCTCCGCTGCAGCAGTCTAGGAGGAGTCGTGACAGTTCATCCTTGCAGTGCGGGGGTAGCCCCACTGCAAGGGTTGATATAACATTTCTGCTCGGAGTTCTTCTTTAAGATATTGATGTATGCCATATCACCCTTCTCAAACTGCTACATACCCTATTATGGAATTTTAAATATGGTAATCATGGTAAACTTAAAATAACATTTACACAAGCGTATCTTCAGTTTGGAGGATTTTGTAATTAACGGGAAAACACTATATGCCAATACAAAAACCATGAATCTTGGATGTATGTTGCAGTGTATTGACTTAAACTAGGACCTCAGCAAAATGCACATCCCCAACACATAACAATGGACCTGTGTTTTAGCACACCACAACGCACAAATGTGAATTTTAGTGTGCTACGCTAAAAAAAATGTAAAAAAAAAGTGCAGGTCCATTAAAACCTGTGTTGCTCTGCGTTGGCAGACTCAAAATTAAAGGGCTCCCTTAACGCAATTGACATGCGTTTGCTAATTCACTGCAAAAACATGAATTCAGCCTATAAAACAGACATACTACTAAACCATGCCCTCTTATACCCAACGTAGAAAAATGTTTTGACAGAATTCCTCCTTTAACTTTGGTGGTTTGTTGAACTTTTTATTCACTAGCTGATTTTGCAAAGACAGCAGAAAAAACCTTTGCAAATAAATATTACACTTTAGAATAGTAGAAATCATCAGCACAGTTTAATCACGCTCTGCATACCTTCTTTGAAGACTTTTTTGGTGTGATTCATTTCAGTCGTAGATCTTGAAGCAAGAATTTCAATAAGCACATCTTCCTTAGTGCCAGCACCCTGGAAAACAAACAGATAATGGCATGTACAAAAATCTCAAGGACTTGTGACTTAACAAGCTTCAGCATAAATTTATCATAATAAATGTTTTGCCTTGTGTTGAACAGTCAATCCCTTGCCCTTTTTCGTAAGATCAATAACAAAAAGGAGCATGCCTCAATCTGCAAGTCCTTAGACAAAGCGAGCAGGATACAACATTAATGAAGACAGCTGGGCCCTCGATGTATTGCCACATATTTTGTGATCGGATTGAATACACAGTTATGTTTCTCACTTGAACTCTGCATGCTCTACTGCATGTTTTTCAAAATTAATTGATATTTTACATTCCCACACAAATAATAAAACATACCTTTATTGCATGTCTAAGTTCATGAGCATCATACATGTTTGATGGCGTCATTAGTGCCACAATCACCTTCTCAAGTTTACCCGTAAGTTCAGACTTGAGATCATCAACAAGATCCTGAAAACACAAGGAAAATAAATAAATACAAAAGTATTCAGCTGAAAATGTCAAAATGCTGCATTGAAATGCTTCAGCGGGATGCAGGTAGAAAATAAAAAATTAGTGCCTCACCAAAAATCAAATCTTTAAAGGGAATAAAATTAGTGAGGGGATTTAAATAGCTGCAATATTTAAATATAAATGTATATATGTAATAAAATGGAACAGAATTCTGATGCAGAGGCAAGGTTTCTATTTTTCTGGCCATTCAGTGCATACAATCATTTGGCTCACTGCCAACCTAGGTTTGCCCATCTTGTAGAATTATTATTTGTAAACCTACCCTGCCAAATAAAGTCTTAAATGCTACGGCAACTTGCTGACGCTGAGCATTGCTTCTGGATGTAAGAATCTTCATAATAGGGTCCTCATCAGTACCTGAAATGTAATGTTCAGAGATAAGCCACAGTGAGTGAACAAAATATTCATTATTATTATGACAGTGTACAATAGGGGGACACAAACTGTGGGTTGGGAGTCCAAATAGTGTCCTATTAGTAACATATTTAGGAAGAAAACACAAAAAAAAAAAAAAGTTTAACTTTTGACCATCAAAAGACTTTTCACAACATTGGGTCTAAATAGAGGAGAGCCAATGCCAGGTATAGATTTACTCAGTCTGCTCCCATCACACTTCATCCAAAATCAAATGAACAGTGATGGGAAGAAGTATTCATAAAGAGTGATTTACTGTATTGGCTATTTTGTTACATACATGAAAACATAGAAACCTACCTAAACCCTTCATTGCTTTGCGGAGAGCTTCTGCATCATCGTTTGCTTTAAAGGCCTGGAAATCCTTTATGCTTCCTCTTGTTGCCTAAGACAAAGCAAAGTTGAGGTGTTATCAGCCTTAGATATAGCTTATATTCATTATATTGCAGATCTCCTCTGACAAACTTATTCATTGTATGGACCAATGAAGATATCCTTTGGAACCCTTACAACTGCATGTGTGTGCCTCCAATTAAACACAGGCCCCTAACCCTTAGCCCATGGACCTTCAGTCTGTCAGTATGAAGGATCCAATATTTCCGAGTTGCAGAGGGTGTAGGCAATTAGGAATTGGTGTGGTAGAATACTTCCTGCCTAGAAGTAAGAAATTACAGAAACCCACCCCAAAATCCACTGCCTCCTGCAAAAAAAAGGATTACTTTTGGATGCACTGCATTCACAGATGGGTAGTACATAGGTTGTGGTAGGCAGCCCAAACTCCATTAGAGCATGCACTCTCCATGGGAACTAGTTTGGAATTTAGTGGATCTCTGAACTTTGCCTAGTTCAATGAATATCAGGAATCCATTCTGTTTCATCAGTCATGATTCACTCACTAGCAATAATGGAGGAGTTGTAAAAACTCACAGGAGAAAGAATTTGAGAAAATATTTTCCAAGGGTCAGATGAACCACAACCCTAAAGTTGGCCATACCTCTACAGATTATCTATGGTCAGATGGAGAAACAGCAACAGATCTCTCCATCTACACTAAACTGTGTGGATGGAGGAATCTCCCGCTGGCCAAGCCTCAGTATCCTGCTAGTCGGCCCCGCTGGCTCTCAAAATACTTAAACAATGCCTGCATCCAATCAGGTTGTTCAGGTATTTTGAGAGCCAGCGGGGCCAACTTGCAAGATACGGAAATTTGGCCCAGCGGGAGATTCCTCCATCCACATAGTTTAGCGGAGATGGAGGAATCTGTTGCACTTTTTTACCATCTGACCATAGAAAATGTGCAGATAATCTATAGGTATATGGCCAGCTTAAGATTAAAAAAAGCTTTCAACATATTTTGCCAAGGTATATATATCTATATCCTAATTCAGGGGTTTTGTATTGCCACTTGTGTATCTGCTACAGAGATTACCACTCAGATCTCCATTACAGGTTTGCAGTAGCCCAGAACCTCCACCTAAACACTGTATTTATACATTACAGGTATTCCTCACTTAACGACCGAGTTCCGTTCCTACGACCAGGTCGTTAAACGGATTGGTCGTTAAGTGAGGAACTCTATACAGTACTGTACTGCATTAGTACAGTACTGTATAGCGTTGCCGATGTACAGTACCGAACAGTGTACTGTACATCGGGCAATGGAAATACTTACCGGGACCTGCAGTGAAGATCGGAGGACGTCACTTCCGCCGGTGACACGGCGCACTGATGGCGACGCGCAAGGTCGGAGGTCGATCGGCGGTCCGTCGTAAGTGCGAGTGGTCGCAAAACAGGTAAGTCGGTAAGCGAGGATCATCTGTATATCCATTACTGAATTTGGAGAGCATTGCAGCATTCTAACCCTTCCAAATCTTTAAAAAAAAACATCTACACATTTCTTCACTTTCAGTAACCCTAATGAAAATATGTTCACTTCAGGGACGTGCAATAAGGTCCGTGATAGGTAAGGCATTCCCCCTGCTCGCCGCCGCCTTGCCCCCAACCCAGTCACCGAACTATGGGTGGAGGAGTGAGGGAGAAGGGAGGAGACAAGGAGGAGCCTCCCTGTCTCTCACTTGCTTATCACTGGTGAGGCATCGGGATAGATGTCCTCAGTTTTTTTTATTGGACAGCTTGGGCCAATGGCACTTTGCCATTGGTCCAAACCATCCACAGAGCTCAAGCCTCTAACACAAAGTAGAGGCTGTTGCTGCTCTGGTCTCACTTTGCTAGGTTACACAAAGCAGTGGGGATGTCCGCTGCTGTGTAACCTAACATAGCTGTCAAAAGCCGGATGAAGCACCGCCTGTAATTAACAGGCAGCGCTCCATCCATGACAGGTTACAGCACACACAAGGGTGGCTCCATAGGACCCTGCAACGGGAAAGGAGCCACCCTAAAACAGGATATTAGGGCCAGTGCTCAGGGGACCAACTGATTCAGCAGAAAATTAATACTTTTGGACATCAATAATCAGCTTCCATTGTAAGTGATTTAATCCGCATTCGAAATAGCTCAAAACATGAAAACTTTAATATCCCTTTAAGGGATTTCTAAAAAAGGGAATAAGAGATTTTTAGGATACACTGATAAAAAATACTCCTGTTTTTGAACTTGCCAACTGTTGAAAATCCCAATATGGTTTTCGGGGAGAAGGGGAAATGTGGAGCATAATGTTATGTTTACACAATCTCATGATTACCTTGGATATATTGAAGGAGCTAAAATGTGGCAAGAGTACATGTATTTTTAACACAGCTTGTTTGAGCAGCAAATGTTAGTTTAGCATCACAGTGAAAAAAAATCTGGAGGAGATCTGAGGAAAAGCAATGTACTACTAATGGATATGCAAGTACCCACATTTGAATGTAATGTAATTGCATTTACATACTCTTATTTACAGAAAGGCATTGCTGATTGTGTATATTTGTTTATGAAACAAATAATTGTTCCAAACAATATTCTTTGTCTAAAATACATGTAATGATGGCCTACTTACCAGAACTTGCAATCTGCTGCAGTATTATTGCACTAATAAGGATGCATTTAATAAAAAAAGATATTTTCTTCAACGTAAAGTGAAATGTACCATGTACCAGCTACAGGATGTTTATATGCATTCCTACTTATTATAATGGTATTGGCACAGAAAGCAATATATTATGCCTCAGGATTCAAAATCCTTAGTACTTTAGCTGTTTATTGCATCATTACATATTACAAATATCCTGACAAAGAAGAAGTCCTAGGCTTCTTGACATTTTGCAACACTACCTCACACGATCACTTATATGGGTGGAACTGAAATGTGACACTTAGAGGTATGAATAAACATATAATGATCTCGTAAAGTGTTACCGCCAGTATTAGCGTTGGAGGAAAACAAACAAACACTGTGCTTTCAATGGTAAGCCACAAAAAGCTCCTCTTTGGAGCACACATATCTAATGTAACCATGATTAAAAAAAAAAGAAAAAAAGTAAACATGAATGATGAATTCCCTGCAGGGAATTGTAGGAAATTCATATTAACCGAGTACATGTTTAATAATTCAGAGGATGCCTTTCTTCTGAGACCTAGCAGTAAGCCAGAATGATGTAAGGTTAAAAGGAGAACTATGAGGAGTGCTTTTCACTCACCTCATAGTTCTAGCCGACCTGTGACAATGAGACTGTCACGGGTCGGCTCAGTAGATCGGGAGGTGAGCGAACACATACCGGCGTTCGCTCACCTCTCAATCCTGTCACGGCTTTCTGCCGTGACAGGGGAGGGGCTGGATTCCCCCCTCCCCCCTCCGCTCCGCCAGCGTTGACTGGCGGAACGGACGGGGGAGGGGGCTGGTACAGCTGACTCTGCCTCTAGATAGGCAGAGCCAGCTGTCAGTCATGCAGCTGGGCGGATCCAGACATAATTGTCAGGATCCGCTTCAGCTGCGGCGTCTTAGTATACCGCGACAGTGCGGTGTCTCAGTATACCGCGACCTACAGCTCGCGGTATACTGAGCCTAGGGTGACGGGAGGATGCTAGTATGTGTCCTCCCGTTACCCTAAGGAGAACTATGGGGAAAAGCCTTAACCCCATGGAACACCACACAGAAAACAACAAACCATGAACGCAATTGTGTATTTCTTTAAGAGAAAATTAAAGTGAATGTCTGGGCAACACAGTTTGGGATTTAAGCACAGCAGAAGCACCATTTTATCAGCTTAAAAAATTCCACATGGGTGAGTGGGCTCTCACCATAATGTATAGGTATGCACGGTATACTTGCACATTATGGCACGCTTACCTCACACATTGCCCTTCTTCCACGAGGACAGCTCTAGCCTCCAGTCACCTCCAAGTATGATCCCACCACCACATCTTTTGGGTTCCACCAAACTGCTCTTTGGCTGGATGGCTACTCACAAATGTAAACAACTATGTATGCCAGCTCCTACCTGCTCTATTCTCGGCATGTCTATCTCAATTTTTCAAGACTACATATCCCATCATGCATTGCTTCTAGCAAGCAATGATGATGTTACATTGTTCAGATGTTTGAGTTGTAGTTCAGATGGCAGGCTTGGCAGTGCATATTCCCAATGCGGAGAAAAATTGTGTCAGTGCATTGAGGAAGTACATCCTATAGCAGTGGTGAACCTATGGCACGTGGGGCCCTCTCTGCTGGCACGCGAGCCCAGGTTCAGGGACCACCAATGGAAATGGATTTGACCGCACGGATCGCCTCAGTACGCGATCCGAGCCAGTCACAATCAGGCAGCGGCCTCTAAACAGGCAGATTAGATGGTCGCTTCCTCCTCGCTAGGACCCTGGGAGGCCCCTGCGAGTGGCCTTCTAATCTGCCTGTTTAGAGGTCATCGCCGATTATGCAGCCCACCCCCCTGCAAAACAGGTAAGCAGGAGAGAGGGCAATGTTTTATTTATTCAATTTTTTAGTAGTTCTGTGTGTATGTGTGATGTGTGTGTTTCATTACATGTGTATGTGTGTTTTATTAAGTGTATAAATATTTGAATATGCGTGCTTGCCTATTTTGCCTAAGGCCCCATTCACACTGTGCGTAAAAACCCGCTATTTTGTAAGAAGACGCCGACCAATGTTATTCAATTGAGCTGTTATAATGTACAGCTCCATGTAGCCCGTCGCTGTCGCTTAAGCAGGACCCTTTTCCCACAGATGTCGCACGTTTTTTTTCTCTGGTGAAGGTCACGTGATCTTTGCTGGACCGTCGCCCCGAACAGTCGCGCTATCCTGGCCCCGCTTGTAAGGTATGTCGATTGGTGTGAATTGGGGCCTAAGACAGTGATGTTGAACGTTTCTTAAACCCCGAACGCCCAAACTGCAATACAGTACTAAACTTATTTTCAGTGCTGGCACTTTTAGGT